TTCAGAGTTAATCTTTACAGTTGCGTTTTCAATATATTTTTTTTCCTAAAGATACGGAAGATGCGGGCGAATGAAAAATGTGTAGTTTCATTTATCAGTCATAACAGTTAATTATCATAAATTCTGGTCCGAGGATCAACTGGTTGTGAATTCGGCCAGAGACAACGAGAGAGAGAGAGAGAGAGAGAGAGAGAGAGAGAGAGAGTCACAGATGGAGTTTTCACTAGATATTCACAGATATGTATAAAATGTTAGGATGTCTTTAATAANAATACCTCAACGGATATTATTCTTGTCTTATTATTATACGTAATCTTCAAGACGTTATAATAACTTTTATCACTCACTTCCAACTTCGCCCCTTTTACATGCATCATACGTCACTTATACCAGTAGTTTGCTTGTTTATTCTTGTTTTGGTACCTGAAGAAGGTTCACAAGCCAAAAGCTCGGGCATTTTTTTCATCTCTTCAGAGTTAATCTTTACAGTTGCGTTTTCAATATATTTTTTTTCCTAAAGATACGGAAGATGCGGGCGAATGAAAAATGTGTAGTTTCATTTATCAGTCATAACAGTTAATTATCATAAATTCTGGTCCGAGGATCAACTGGTTGTGAATTCGGCCAGAGACAACGAGAGAGAGAGAGAGAGAGAGAGAGAGAGAGAGAGAGAGTCACAGATGGAGTTTTCACTAGATATTCACAGATATGTATAAAATGTTAGGATGTCTTTAATAATTTTTCAAAGAAAGATTCCTGTTTATGATATGAGAACAAAGAACGATCGCGTTTGTTACGCTATTTAAAAGCAGTATTGACGACAGCTATCATCTGAGTCCTCAAGGGGGTCGAACTCCCAACACGGTCGGAGGTACGTTGTGTAGATGAAAAATAACTACATTTTGTCTCTCGCTCTTCCTTAAGTGAGTCTTTAAATGCACACGAAAATTGTTGCATAACTTAGCTCAGCACTGTGCCAATCATATTTAAAACACGAAATGCAGACTCATTTTTAGACCTTCTCTACTGTCGCTCGCAACTCCATCTTACATTTGCCTATAAGTTTATTTTCAATAAATTAGAAAAATAAGGTAGGCCTAATTGTTTGGAAGCAAGTTTAATATTTAACGTCTCAGAAAATGTCTAGAATGTTTATCTTAAATAACGCAATAAATAACTTGCAGCTACTTTAAAAAGCTGAAAATCCTTCCTGACGTATTTTTTCTCCAGATCATTAATTTTAGTTGCTTTAATGTTTTTAAATATTATAGACATTGATTAAATCCTCATTTTAGTTAAGACAATGACTGAAGGCCCCGTTGGGTATTTTCCTTACCCGTAACATCCACTTATCATTCCCCGAGATGTGAAGCACCCCATTCCTGTGAATCGTGAATTGCGGGTTTATATCCCTCGTCCTTAGTGGAACGAAGTCATTAAACTCGATGATAGTTATTTTCAGCTCGCCAGACTAGCTTTTTCAATGAGATACGAATTAAGTTTTTAATTAATTTATGTGATTTGATGATTTTATTTCCTGTGGACGTGAACTGTGATCACTCCCCCCCTCCCTCTTCCCTGCGGGCCTTCATGATTAGCAGGACGATATGTTAATAGGGCACAGTTGTATGTTTTACACGCAACACGACAAAGTTGCATTCTCTTAAAAAGCCATTTGCAAAACCTTCGTTATACCCCCTTTACACTGGACGGCGTCCTTTCTGCGTCCTTTCTGCGACCATGAAATTTGGCATCGCTGTGGTCTTAATAAGGAGGTACGAGCATTAATTTTGTATCAGAATGAATGCTCAATGATCGGCCAGTTGTCGGCACGTAAAATATTATAATTTTTAAACTCTCAAATGGGGCCGGACTGCTGGACGCAGAAAGGACGCCGTCCAGTGTAAAGGGGGCTTTACCAGGCACTGAGAAAATATACTTGGAATTGAGGGAAAAAATTTAGACGTTTTGAAAAAAAATAGCGCGCATCTAATATAAGTAAAATTGTAAAATCTCTATAAAAGTAAAATTGACTTTAGAATATTTTCAAGTTTGTTTATTATACTTTAATGGTAGGCCCTTATTGCTCTAAATGCGAAGGTCCTTAAAGTTAAATGCTCCATTTGCTCAAATTGAACGTTGTGTTAGCAGTGCTGAGATCCAGCAAAAGTTGAAGCAAAAAGAAAATATATAATAATAACAATAAAAAAAGAATTTATAATTGCCTTTTTGTAATAATTTATTTATTTATTCTCAATCAATAATCAATTATATCATATCTAAACAAAAAATCAAAAGATATAATAACTGGGAAGCAGAGTAAAACTGCGGCGCTTCATGTGACCGGATGTGCCGAGATGTGACCCAGTATTCACTGCGGGTTTGCTTTGACCTACTTAGTCGGGCGGAGCGGGAAAGTTTTACACGTTATGAAATAACGTTATACTAAGGCCAAGATATATTTATGGGTTACCATAAAAATTTGATCTGAAGCAGTAGGACATTCCACGATTCCAGCATCCTTGTAAATGCATGCAAACACATTCTTAATGACAAAAGGGTGAGTACTTTGTTGCAGTGATCTGGTACCGGAAGTCTTGGGATTGAAAGCGACAGTTGGGCGGGGCTTTTGAGAGAGAGAGAGAGAGAGAGCTGCAGATACAAGAGCTAGAGGATAGATAAAGGGAGTGTTATAAGTGTTATTTAGTAGATCTGAATTCCTGGAAATATCTGAGGTAAAACATAAAAAGTTCTAGCAGAGTTAGGGAGCAATAGGGTTTCTATATGTTGTCCTAAAAAGTTAGTTATGGGGATTTTTACAGTGTTCACTTCGTCCTATCAGGTATCTTTAGAACTCTCTATTTAGCCATAGCCCTCCAACTGGAGTGAAGTAATGGCTTTAAATGTTCGGAATTCATACATACATACTGTGGTATGTATGCATTTTAGGAATTCATACATACCACAGTATGTAGCCAAGTATAACATCACATTGTTACAATGTCCTGCATTGAATATAGTGTTGTGACACATTTTGAGGTATGTCGGGCTGCTTAAGATGCAAAGTCACAACAAATGTCCCTCTAAATTTAGCTTAAATTGCCAATATAAAATAATGACAATTTTAAGTTTGATTTTTTTTTACATGAAGTCATGGCAAAACATCAGATACATATTAGCAATTTTTTGAAAGTACAAATTTCTGTGAATATGAGGAAGCTGCCAGGTTTGACTTTGCCAGGACCACTGCCAATTTAGACATGCAATCAAACAGCCCTTTTTCCTGGGAAAAGGTTCCCTCTGGGTAAATTTTCATTTATGTACACACTGGTTTCATGGTAAAAGGTCCACTTTTTTTTAGGAAAAAAAAACTTTTGAAATAGCTGGCTACAGCCAGGCCTGTTGAATGTTTATAATGAATATTTCTCTTTTTTTTTTCAGCTCAGGCACACAGTTTGACAGAGTGGTCATATCTGAAAATGCAGTGATTCTCAATGAGATAGCAGAGAAAACCCTTTACTGACCCAACACTAATCAAACTTGGAGGGAGAATCTCAACAGAAGATTGGAATCAGCAATCTATACAGAAAAGATGAGGACATTGAACCATACTGGGACATGAGAGAAGAATTTAGTATTATTGAAGCACACAAACCATTAGTACCCATGTTTAACAAGGCACAATCAAAATTACCACCAAGAATAGAGAAATGGGTGATGGACTTACAAGATGTTGACTATGAAGTGGTATATGAGCCAGGAAAGAATGATGCAGACCCAGATTATCTCTCCAGACACCCACTGCCACAAATGGGTGGTCATAGTACAGAGAAGATGATCAGATGGATGGTCAAATCTGAAAATGCAGCGATTCTTGGTGAGATAGCAGAGAAAACACTCACTGACCCAACACTAATCAAACTTGGAGGGAGAATACACTCATTATACGTGACTATGTTTTAGTTAAACAGAACAAAAGAAACAAACTCTCAACACCATATGAACTGATTTTCTATATTGTCATGAAAATACATGGTTCTCAAGTTACTGCCAGAAGAGTTACAGACGGAAGATCAATCTGCAGAGATGCAAGTCAATTCAAACTGTGTAACAATGTTATAAACACAACAGATGATGTAATGAAAATCCCAGCAGACTCGTATTTGAAAGAAATCACAAATGAGATGAGAAGACAAGATGATGCATGTGAATTGCAACTTAGTGATATATTACAGTGAAAAGTGACATTGCAGCAACAGACACACAGAATATTCCAAACTTAGATGATATTGCATTAAATACAGAGAATTCAGTTGATGAGAAGATGCCACAGCAAGAGAAAAACAGTGATTATATTGAAGAACCAATTTACACCATACCAAAGAGCACAATCAGACAACCTGGTTACTTAAAAGATTATGTATTAAAGCGACAGTTCAATCATGTCTATGTAATCAGGATGAAGGCGGATCGCTGTCCTAAAAAAAAGTAATCTGAGATAATTGATATTTAATCAGGATGAAGGCGGATCGCTGTCCTAAAAAATGTTATCTTAGATAATTGATATTTAATCAGGATGAAGGCGGATCGCTGTCCTAAAAAATGTTATCTTAGATAATTGATATTTAATCAGGATGAAGGCGGATCGCTGTCCTAAAAAATGTTATCTTAGATAATTGATATTTAATCAGGATGAAGGCGGATCGCTGTCCTAAAAAAAAGTAATGTGAGATAAATTATATTCAATCAGGATGAAGGTGGATCGCTGTCCTAAAAAAAAAGTAATGAGATTTTTTTCTAATGTAATCAGGATGAAGGCGGATCGCTGTCCTAAAAAAAGTAATCTGAGATGATTTATATTTAATCAGGATGAAGGCGGATCGCTGTCCTGAAAAAAAGTAATCTGAGATGATTTATATTTAATCAGGAAGAAGGCGGATCACTGTCCTGAAAAAAGTAATCTGAGATGATTTTTATTTAATCAGGATGAAGGTGGATCGCTGTCCTGAAAAAGTAATCTGAGATAATTTATATTTAACAGGATGAAGGCGGATCGCTGTCCTGAAAAGCTTGAGCATATAGCACTCAAGATGTGACTTTCTACTATATGAAAACTGAAAATTCTTCAGGATTCAAAATATTCAAGGATAATGATTTTTAAGTTTATATGTTGTAGAAAAAAATTCAGGTTGGGAGGAATGTTATATCCAATACATGGCTGCTGATTAGTTGTCTTGACCAGGGCCACCACCTGGTGGATGACGTGGTAGTGGAAATGAGTGTGAAAGAAGCACATGGTGAGTGAGACCCACAGCACCTGGTCATAACAGATGATAAGTATTTGACCCAAGGTGGAGCAGTGGTCATTACCCACCGTCACCCATCACCATGCCAAAAACGCCTCCTTACAGGTAGTGCACAAAATTATTGCTTGGTTTTGTTTTACAAGTCCTGTTACAATAGATAATTTGTCTTCTATCCTTCCCATGTAGATCAATAAACCAGTTATCACATTTTGTGCTTCCTTTAAATTTAAATAATTTTTTTCACTTCTCTCATGTTACTACTCACAAAATATACTTCTACATGGCACATTCAACTGATATACTTATCCCAGATTATTACAGCCATTGTTTATAGGCAATTTGTATGCAAATTTCTCAAAAATTCCAGAAGATTTGGCAGAGTTCTGTTTATTTAACTATGTTTAATCTAAGATTGTGCTCAACTCAGCAGTCACAATTGTGCCCAGCAACCTCCAAAAGACATTTTAAACTTGTTTCAGTTTAGGCACCATAACTGTGATGTCTGTCATATTAGGTGGACATTTGGCAGTATATTGTAGGTATAATATTCTGCTGTTGTGGACTGTCAGAGCTTTGTCTTTTTATTTAGGTAATTTATGTCACTTCATTAATATAATCTTCTGTCTCTTTTTCCAGCTCCAGTCTCCATACAGCATGGTGTCTTCTAGGTGAACAGATTTTACCTGGCTGGACATGGGGGACATGCATTGTTAATATGAAATAGACAGGAAATAACAGCTGCAGGAATATCCCTTCATCTCACACAGTTGTGCAAGACACAGCAAGTTTCAGGATGAATGGGTTGTGAAGAGCCAGAGACAGGACAGCCATGGTAAACGGGGAACTTGACTTCTTGCAGGTTGTACACAAAATGGACAGTTGGTTTTTTTTCAAGTAACAGCGGGTAAAATTGGCCTTTTTCTTACCTCTGTAGAGACAAAATTATCACAATTTTTGGATTTCATTGGTTTCCAATATGACTTAAAATCATGAGTTATTATAATCACCCACACTTGTTTATTTAAAAGAAAATAAGTTGTAATGATGTGTGCATTGGAGCTTTATAGTCATTAATACTATTTTTGATCCACACCTCTCATTTGTTAACAATGCATTTGTTTAGTTTGAACCATTTGTCTTATATGCACAAAACATATTCATTTAAGTTTTATAGTTGTTAAGTGCTTTTTTAATCACACCTGTCATTTTTAAAGAATTTGAATCCAATTTATCTTGTATGCACAAAACACATAAAATGAATACTTATATTTTGAATTGAGCACCATTACATATGAGCAGTATCAAGATATAAATATCAAGTTTCGTGATACAAAAATGTTCTTGTGCATTTTACAAAAGCATCCTGTATTTGAATTACTTATCATTGAATTGTTTCTGATAATGTACAAATTTTTAAGGATATTACAGAGAGGATTCACAGGCATTGCAAACAGTAACACTCATTTCATTTATGTTTTTAGCAAATACACTTCTGGAATTCTAAAAAGAGCTGCTGGCAGACCAAGAGGTCAGTTTTATACTGAGTGAGAGAGAGTGCTGCCAGAACCACCCAGAACAAGACTTCCAAACACAGCAGATCCTGTGGAGCCAGTTATATGGAACAGTACAATTACACAACAAATGTGGGTTCCAGGTAACACAAAGAATCAATTTCCCCCATATACATGGAAACTATAGAGGCAGGGTATATAAAGCAAGGAGATTGTGTGGGACAATACTCTATCACTGAAGACAAATAGACACAATGGAAATGTTTAAAAGTGAATTGATATTTCAGCTCAGTTGTGATGTGTTATAATAATTTTCCCCATATGCATGGAAACTGTTACAGTACTAGTAGAGGTAGCATATAGTGAGATTGTGGTAGACAATAAGTCATCACTGAAGAGAAAAAGACATCAGTGAAAATTTTTTAATGTGAATATGTATTTCAGGTCAGATATGATGTGTTATAGATGATCTCTGTTATTGTGAGGTCATTAAGTTGTATTATGCAAATTTTATCACATATTTATTATATACAGACACTCAGTCTGTCTATATTCTGATCACTGTGTCTGTCCAGTGTCATTGCCATAGTCAGCACTTTATGACACATCTGTTGTTTATCCTATAACTGATAAACTGTATTTTTGTTTTAATTTTAATTCTTCTAGAAAATCAGCATGATTGGATTATTTTATGATATTGTTTTGTTATCTTTAGCAGTTTGGATATGATGGTACAGTATTTCCTGAGTATATCAAATTCAAGTAATTTCTGATTCTGATATTTATTTTAATTACTAAATATTGTCATCTTGTGAATTTATGAAATTATTATAAGTTCATTGTTAAATGATTTATCAGGTGCATGACAGTAGTCAGAAGGTTCATTGGTCTGATAGTTGGATGTTGCCAAGATCCAATGGTTCAAAAGATTCACAAGTCAGAAGGTTCATTGGTCTGATAGTTTGATGATGCCAAGATCAAGTGGTTCAAAAGGTTCAGTAGTCAGAAGGTTCATTGGTCTGATAGTTTGATGATGCAAATGTCCAGCTGTTTCAAAGGTTTGCTAGTCAAAAGGTTCACTAGTCTGAGAGTATGAAATGTGTATGGTGTAATATAGCAATGATAATATTTGTTTATGTTTTACTTACTGTTCATGACTCCATAATGTCCAAGCTTTGGACATGTGTTACTTTATCTGTGATTTTCATTGTTTCTTGAACACAAATATTTGGTTTTATGGTCTTGTTGCCTGCTGCTGTAAAGATGAAGACTAATGTCAACACATTTGAGTTATATTCGGAAAGCTAAAAACAGTAATTCCTTTCAGTGAAGTATTTTATTTGTCTGAGTTACATGACATACTTAATGGAAACTAAATGACTTTTATGTCATTACTATAAATACAATTTGGCATAAATAAATATTCTGTGATTTTTATGTACAAACACAAAGTGACAGCTACAGATTCTCCAGGGTGGATGACTGGGGCCATTCACACTTGAGATGCACTTTAATTGATTGCAGTCAGTCTGCACATTCAATCCAGTCCTGGTTTCTGTCGTACATGCATACCTTCTCCTCAGTAACTCAGCCATTTAAGCTAATTGCAATGATCGCACTTAGCAAGAATCTCCCCCAACTGGTATGGTGTGTCTATCTGACAGATTACAGCTCTATAGAATACCACCCTAAGAGCAGTTGCAACACTGCCAATGTGTGCTGTAGATTCTCCAGGGCAGATGACTGGATCCCTTCACATTTGCGATAGAACCATTGCAGGCAGTCTTCACATTCAATCCAGTCCTGGTTTCTATCATAGACCTGCCCACAATGACAATATATTGGAAATTCAGACAATTTTGGTCTTGTATGGTGGCTGTTCTCTGATCTATATGGGGACATTTCCAAACTACCCCTTTCAAAACACTTGCTGAGATGTTCCCTCATTGCCCTTTGCTCCCAAATGAAGTCCTCGGGTCTTGTTCCAAAGCACAGCAATGGCATAAAGACCACTGTCATTATCACCAGTTTGCTCCTGAACATCTATGTGCTCCAAAACAATTTCCTTGGATGGAGCAAAATGCAATGAGGCAACGATCTCAGCAATCTTACCCTTCAGTCTGGGTCTCCAAGGTCTGGAATTTGAACACAATTGCTAATATTGCTATTAATGTTGGAAAGAGTAAGCCAATGGGAGTTAAGATAAACTATTTGCACAAATGAAGAAGTGGGAGTGGATAAGATATGACCATTTTTAACAAACTCAAGGGCACAAGTACCATGAAAGCCCTCTACCTTTGGGAACATATCTGATAAAATTCCATGGACTAAGTTTATTTCATTACTAGTCAACCAGGCATGTCTTTGACTTAATATTGTTTTAGAAGAAATGTCATACCTACTGTATGAAAGTTTCTTTCTCTGTTTAAGTGACAAGGAAGGGAAATTACCTTTTCTTTTCATACCTACCTTGCCCTCAACATTAAAGGCCCTATAATCCTCTTCTTCAGTCTTATCTAAAATGCAAAACAAAATATTAAAATGAGCAATCCCATAAAAATATTAAATAATACAAATAACTCGATTCATTTACAGTACATTAACAAAACTGAGGGGTATTTAACTTGTTTTGCCAAGTATATTAAAGTGGTAACCTGATACTTAACCAATATAACATATGCACAGAGCTATTCATTTTCAAAAAAGCATGTGTTATTTATGATGAGGTGAACAGACACTTATCACTTGCAAGAATATCAATGGCATAGTGATACAAATTATTTCTCCTTCTGTGTCTGTTGTTTCAAGGTCTGTTGACAGCCTGGACTCCAAATTTTTACACTTCTGGCATGCCTTTTGATTGTCATCTGCAAATCCAGCTTAGAAGGTTAAGCATTCTACAATTATAGAACATCAAGTTCACTCACAATTTTGGCAATTTTTAAAGACTAACCTTGTTGTCTTCGTACTGTAACACTGTATGGCCTCCAATCAGCAGTTGGAGACACATTAGGCTCAGTGGCCTTTGTAACAGTTGTACTTTTCAGATGGTCAGTCCACAAACACTTGTCACCATCTATCCATGATGATGGCACCACTTCAACCTCATTTGTTTTGTCAAAAAGAACAACAGCATACATGATGGAACACTACCCTGTTCAAATTATCAAATGCAGTTTCAGAATAAGTTTGTTCCCAAAAAACATGCACATTTCATACAAGTTGATTGTAAGAAAGATTTATAATATTGGTGTGAAGTGAAGGTACTTCCCTTTAGCTTCATATTTCATTGCATAACATTTTCATTTAGATCATTTTTATATCATTTACACACACACACACACACA